ACTAAAGTAGTAAAGAACCTATGCACAGAAAATAATTCATATCAGATGTGAGAGGGCAGGGCAGGGTGAGGCGAAAACTCCTGACTAGAACCCTGACTCCACTGTGGGGCAGGGCAGAGTTATTCTCCATTCTGTGTAACTGGACCCTAGCCCTCACCCAACCAATCAGGGTCAGCCTGAGCAGTGACATCACCACTGGTGTAAAACCCCTGGATTTGGTGAAGTTCGCCCTCTCGGGCATGTGTGGGACAGAGCCCATGTTAACATGGAAGAAGCTCTCTTGTTAATTGCATCGGACTTGGCTCCCTGCTGGTCTTTAGGGATCACGGAATCACGGTACAACAATAGAAGTGCTAGCGCCTAATAAATCAAGTTTTTAAAATTTCCCAGTTAATTCTGAGGTGCAAACAAATTTTAAGACCACAAACCAACCGCACTGAATGAACCTTAACCTCTCTCTTTCAGCTCTAACTAGCCAATGATTCAGGATTTTATCTTAGGTAACAATTTTCAAATATTCTGCAAGATAAATATTTTTTAAGCATACCATATCATATAAATGAACTCAATTTTATTAGAAAACTTACAGAAAATCTAGGTTTAGGGTCTAAATTAAAAGAAATGTCTGGTACTCACTTTAGCAGCACATATACTAAAATTGGAACGATAAGAGAGGTTAGCATGGCCCCTGAGCAAAGATGTCACACAAATACAAGAAGCCTTATATATTTTTAAAAATCCTATAGAATAAAGAAAGAATATGCAAATAGTCATTACACTGTGAAGCATTAACAACTGATCAGCAGGAGGGTAGGGCGGAGAGCGGCAGGGCAGGGCAGGGCAGCAAGCTATTGGGGGAGAGAGGGGAGCTGAGGGAGCTACAGGAGGGCAACAGTGAGCTACTGGCTACAAGCAGGCGGCAGAGAGCTGCAGGAGGGGGCAGGGCAACAAGCTATGGGGGGTCAGGAATAGCTACAGGAGGGTAGAGCAACGGGCAGAGAGCTACTGGAGGGTGGCAGCAAGCTACTGGCCCCCAGATTCGTGCTGTGCGCAGGGCTACTAGTAAATAAAATAAAGTTGGTTGAGCTGGATTTTGTTTTAACTTATTTGGCATCAGCACAGTTATTCAGAGACTTGGCATAATGTTCAATGAACATTTTCTGAATAGAGAGAGGGAGTAAAATCCAGTATTTTTGTTCTAAAGGAAATGAGAATCTACTAAAAGGATTTACAAATTAAGTGATAAATAAATTTAAATCTTTCATAGAAATACTGGCTCTAGAATTTAAAAATAATGGTTTAGCCCAACTGGCGTGGCTCAGAGGTTGAATGCCAACCTACAAACCAGAAGGTCATGGTTCGATTCCTGAATAGGGCATGGCACTGCCCAGGTTTCAGGCTCAATTCCCAATGTAGGGCGTGGAGGAGGCAGCAATCAATGATTCTCTCTGTTCCTTGATGTTTGTCTCCTTCTCCCTTCCTCTCTGAAATCAATAAGGGAAAAAAAAAAAAAAAAAAAAAAAAAAAAAAAAAATATATATATATATATATATATATATATATATATATATATATATATCTTTAATTTTTATTTTCCTTTTTAAATGGTTTAGATGAGGATTGCAAAACATCTGATAAGAAAGCTACTACAGAAATCCAGAAAGGCATCTGGGAGGGGAAGGGGAAGACCTTGATCTCTGGGGACAGCCAAGAAAAGGTAAACATTTACTAAAATGCTAAATTAAAAAAAAACATGAGGAGGCAGGCTATAAGGGGTCAATGAGAGAAAAAAGGGGGACATATTTAATACTTTTTTTTTTATGATGAGAGAGAATTTATTAATCAGTGCCTTCTGCACGCCCCACACTGGGGGATTGAGCCCGCAATCCTGACACATGCCCTGACCAAGAATCGAACTGTGTACTCCAGATTCATAGGTCGATGCTCAACCTCTAAGTCACACCAGCTGGGCTATAATACTTTCAAAAATAAAGATGTTTAAAAAAAAAAAGATTTAAGAGAGAATCCAAGATGGCTGCTCGGGTAGGCACCTAGCCGCAGCCGCACGCAACAATTTTAATAAAATACAACTAAAATATAAAATGGACATCACCCAGAACTACAGGAAAGTCGACTGACTGGAAATTCTACAACAAGAAGCAAGGAGATAACCAGAAGGAAGCGCGGAGGAGCTGGAAAAGCCCAAGGTACGGAGACACGCGGCGCGCGGAGAGGACAGAGCAGGAGAGGAGGGCTTCGGAGTGCCTGGCGGGCGTTCCCTAGCGGGAAAAAGATAAGCTCCGACTGTGCTGGGCCCCCGACTGCTCTGAACCCCAGGCCTAGGCCAGACCCCGGGGACCCAGGCTCACACAGAGGGAGCCGGGCTGAAAGGCGGAACCCGGGGAAGAGGCGAAAGGAGGTCCTGGCGGCGCCGCACAGAGACGGCCGGCTGTGCCGCGGGATTGCCTGGCGGGAAGGAGACAGGGGCTCCAGACTGCTCTGAACGCCACCTCCAACTCCACTTCCAACTGAACTGAACCCCAGTTCCAGGCTCAGTGGGGGAGAGCATTGACTGTTTGGCAGCAAGTGAAAATCGAGGGCGCCTTTTTCTCAGAGGCGCTTACAACAAGTACTGAAGGACCCTGAGTCTCAGGAGTCGCATAGGGCAGGGCTGACGGAAGCCAAAGCTGTAGGCTCCACCCTGAAACCCCGCCCCATCAGGAAAGCTGCCTGCGAAAATGCCTAAACCAAATAGATCACAAACGAAAGAAATGGAGGACAAAAAGCGACTGGATATAGAGTTCAAAACCACACTTATAAGGTTTTTCAAGAGTTTCCTAGAAAAGGCGGATAAAATAAATGAGACTTATGAGGATATGAAAAGGGATCAACAAGAAATAAAGAATACATTGTCTGAAATAAAAACTATTATACACAGTCCTAAAAACAGAATAGAAGATCGCAAGAATCAAGTCAAAGATTTGGAACATAAAGAGCCAGAAGATACTCCTCTGCAGAAGCTAGAAGTCAAGAGAATCCAGAAAATTGAGAATCAAGTCAAAGATTTGAAACATAAAGAGCCAGAAGATACTCCTCTGCAGAAGCTAGAAGTCAAGAGAATCCAGAAAATTGAAGATGATGTAAGAAACCTCTGGGACAACTTCAAACGATCCAACATCAGAATTATGGGGGTCCCAGAAGATGAGAGAGAGCAAGATATCGAAAACATATTGAAAGAAATAGTGACAGAAAACTTCCCCCACCTGGGGAAAGAATTGGACTTACAAGTCCAGGAAGCACACAGAACTCCAAATAAAAGGAATCCAAAGAGGACCACACCAAGACAAATCATAATTAAGATTCCAAGAGCAAAAGACAAAGAGAAAATATTAAAAGCAGCAAGAGCTAAGCAGGTAGTTACCTATAAAGGAGCACCTATACGATTGTCAGCTGACTTCTCAACAGAAACCATGCAGGCCAGAAGGGAATGGCAAGAAATATTCAAGGTGATGAATAGTAAGAACCTACAGCCAAAGATAATCTATCCAGCAAAGCTATCACTCAGATTCGAAGGTCAGATAAAGAGCTTCACTAATAAAAAAAAGCTAAAGGAGTTCATCAACACCAAACCAGAATTATATGAATTGCTGAAAGGGGTTCTTTCAGAAGAGAAAGTAAATAAAGATAAAAATTATGAACAACAAATTCGTAACTGTCAACAAGTGAATCTAAAAACCAAGGAAATTAAAAATCTAATGAACAATATTAACTGGTGAATATAATAGAATCAGAGGTATGGAAGGGGAGTGAACTGATGATTCTTGGGGAAAAGGGGAGAGGGGGATGTGGGAAGAGACTGAACATAAACTGTGCACCTATGGATGAGGACAATGGGGGGAGGGGAAAGGGCAGAGGGTGGGGTGGGAAGTGGGGGGAAGGGACATTTGTAATAATATGAACAATAAAAATTAAGGAAAAAAAAAAAAAAAAGATTTAAGAGCAAAATAATAAAAATTAGGTGCTTTTTTTTTTTTTTTTTTTTTTTAAATACAAAGCTATTATAAATAGTAAAAAAGATGAGTGGTAGGAAGAACCGGAAAAGATTATTTGGAGAATTAATGAACAACCAAAAAAAAAAAAAAAAAGGAAAAGAAAGTAATAATAAAGATAGGTATAAAAAGAAACCTAGAAAGAGGAAAGGGGACAAGAAGTGAGCTTCTGATGTAGATTTAAAGAGCTTATCATGTTGTTAGCTATTTGACCAGTAAATTACGACTGCTCTTAGAAATTCAGTTAGCTCTGTCTCTAGTGTTTAAAATGTTCTTCCAGTCACTATGAATTTAGTCTTCCTAAATCATATCCACCAGTACACATGAATCTTTTCAATTTCTTAAAAATAATTTTATTGATTTCAGAGAGGAAAGGAGAGAGAAACATCAATGAGAAAGAATCACTGATCATCTATCTGCCTCCTGCACAACCCCTCCTGGGGATAGAGACCACAACTCAGGCATATGCCCTTGACCGGAATTGAACCTGGTATTCTTCAGTCCACTCTATCTACTGAGCCAAATGTCTAGGACATGAATCTTATTTTTTTTTTTTTATCTCTGCCAAAGAATATCCATTTGCAATCTTTTCACATGTGGTAAAAATCTTAAATAGCCAGCATTTGGCCTAATTCAACAACAAAAAATATCTTGATGTGTAACTTTTTAACATTATCTACATACCAAAAATTATTTCCCTGATTTTTGTCAGCAAAATTTAACATTCTTAATTGCCTCCAACAACACTACTTGTTTAGGGAAATTTTTTTTTTTTTTTTTTAATAAGGAGATTCAGAAAAAGGGAGAATGTTGTTTCTAGTATGTTGAGTTCCAACTATCTCTAAACAACTAAATGGCGACTTAATTACTAATAGATGTCACTGGGAACTATAAATAAGCCTTAAGGGGAAAAAAAAAAAAAATCAACCCATTTACATGAACCCTCCTTACCTTGTCTCATCAACATCAACTGGTGCTCATGCCTGGCTGCTTCCATTTCTGCCTCCAGCTTCTCTTTGGCTTCTCTGATGTTTCTGTCGACCTGCTCACGCTGCTGCTTCTCCATTTCATCAAGAGCCTTCCATCTAGATGCATACTCAAATTCAAACGTCCCAGGCTGAGCAAAACGTGGTGGCTGTTCTCTTTCCCTAAGTTTACAATTAAAAACATACAGAATTGTATGTTTAAAAGGTAAAACAGCTAAAAAATAAAAGCGCCAATTACCGAGCACTCACAATATTCATGGCACTGTGAGGCAAATACTCTACCTGAATTGCCTCACAGCAATACTGTGATGCAGATTTTAAAAAGCCTGATTTTGAGAAACTGCCCAAGAATGCCCCAATAATTAGTAATGAAAACAGAATTCAACCAAAACCGGTTAGGCTCAGCGGTAGAGCGTAGGTCTGCGGACTGAAAGGTCCCGGGTTCAATTCCGGTCAAGGGCATGTATGTTGGTTGCAGGCACATCCCGGTAGGGGGTGTTCAGGAGGCAGCTGGTCGGTGTTTCTCTCTCATCGACGTTTCTAGCTCTCTATCTCTCTCCCTTCCTCTCTGTTAAAAAAAAAAAAAAAAAAAAAAAAGTCAAAATAAAAAGCTTTTTTACAGCAAAGGAAACCATCAACAAAAAACAAGAAAGCCCACTATGTGGGAGAACATATTTGCAAACGTTATCACTGGTAAAGGTTTAATCTCCAACATCTACAGACAGCTTATACAACTAAATAAGAGGAAAATGAATGATCCAATTAAAAAATGGGCAATGGACTTAAATAGAATATTTTCAAAAGAAGACAGAAGGAGGGCCAAGAGGCACATGAAAACATGCTCAAAATCACTGATTATCCGAGAGATGCAAATCAAAACAACAATGCGGTACCATCTCACACCTGTCAGAATGGCCAACATCAACAAATCAACAAACGACAAGTGTTGGCGAGGTTGCGGGGAAAAAAGGAACCCTCGTGCACTGCTGGTGGGAATGCAGACTGGTGCAACCACTGTGGAGAACAGTGTGGAGTTTCCTCAAAAAACTGAAAATGGAACTCCCATTTGACCCAGTAATCCCACTCCTAGGAATGTATCCCAAGAAACTAGAAACATCATTCAGAAAGGATATATGCACCCCTATGTTCATAGTAGCACAATCTACAATAGCTAGGATTTGGAAACAGCCTAGGTGCCCACCAGCAGATGATTGGATCCAAAAACTATGGTACATTTATACAATGGAATATTATGCTGCCATAAAAAGAAGGAATTCTCATCATTTGCAGCAACCTGGATGGAATTGGAGAACATCATGCTGAGTGAAATAAGCCAGTCAATGAAAGACCTCACTCATTTATGGGTAATAAAGAACATTATAAACTGATGAACCAAAAGATAGATATAGCGACAGTAAAGCAACAAGCAGACTGTCAAATTACAGCGGGGAAGGGAGGGAGACCTGGAGGAGATAAGAGATCAACCGAAGGACTTGTATACATGCATATAAGTACAACCAATGGACACAAAACTCTGGGGAGGGAGGGTATGTATGAGAGGGAGGGGCAATGGTAAAATATGTACACAGATAATAATTTAATTTAAAAAAAGGAAAAAAAAGAAAAAAAAACAGAATTCAAACCTATGCAATAGAATACTAAACCTTTACTCCCCTAATTATCACATATAACAAGGCCTTTCTAGTATTCATTCAACAAACAATTTTACATAAATCTGCAACATATAAATCAAATGTGTCAGAAATTGTCTGGAATCAATTTTGTTTCCCCTTTTTTGTTTTTAATATATATATTATTGATTTTTTACAGAGAGGAAGGGAGAGAGATAGAGAGCTAGAAACGTCAATGAGAGAAACACCGACCAACTGCCTCTTGCACAACCCCTAATGGGGATGTGCCCGCAACCAATGTACATGCCCTTCGCCGGAATCAAACCTGGGACCTTTCAGTCAGCAGACCGACGCTCTACCACTGAGCCAAACCGGTTTCGGCTTGTTTCCCCTTTTAAGTAGTAACTTTTAGAGATGGTAGTAAAAGCAGGTAAGAATTTACTTAATTTAATGTGCCAGGAAAATTTACTAGGCCAAAAAATAAAGACCTAACTTACTACAATTGTAGTTATTTGTTCAATACTTATTTCCCTTGCTATTCTGTGAACTCAATAAAGACATGAAATGTCTGTAAACAGCTGAAACACAATATCTGGCACAATGCATACATTTATTATTTATTACCATGAGCCAAAAAAATTACCTAAATTAAAAAAAAGAAAACCTATGAATATACCTGAAATTCAAAGAAATTCTCCAATTATATTTGCCTATGATCGCTTCTATTAAAAAGTACTCATAAAAATAGAATCCCCAACCCACAAATAAAAGTGTAAAAAGCAATATATTCATAAATTTTAACTTCTATTAGGGAGTAGGGAGGGGGAAAATGGGTGAGTGGCTGGGACAAAGTTGGGACATAAACAGAGAAGTTGTCACAAAGAAAAAGATACAGTAACAAGAAACAGTTTCAAAAATCTTCAGAGGAATATGAGGATAACCAAAATGAGCCATGATCTAGGTAATTTAACCCTAAAAAACAGATTTGAATTTTTCTTCTTTTTAAAAAATACTGTCTGGGGATCTGGCAGGTGGGAGTGTAATCTGTGCATTCCATTCACCAAAAGGTCTCAGATTCCATTCCGTCAAGGCACAAACCAAGGTTACAGGTTTGATTCCCAATTGGGTTGCATGTCAGAGGCAACAGATCAATGTTTCTTTTTTACATCAATGTTTCTCTCCCTCTCATTTCCTCACTCCCTAAAAAAGGCAATAAAAACATATCCTCAGGTGAGGATTTAAAGCACTCTCTAGGAAAGAAATAAGGGGATCTACCACCCTCTAATTATTCCCAAAGAATTATTAGTAGTTTCTCATTCAGATACTGATTATAATAATATATATTAAAAATTATTCTTTCTGCCAAAACCGGTTTGGCTCAGCGGTAGAGCGTCGGTCTGCGGACTGAAAGGTCCCAGGTTCGATTAGTCAAGGGCATGTACATTGGTTGCGGGCACATCCCCGGTAGAGGGTGTGCAGGAGGCAGCTGGTTGATGTTTCTCTCTCATCGATGTTTCTAGCTCTCTGTCCCTCTCCCTTCCTCCCTGTAAAAAATCAATAAAATATATTTAAAAAATAATAACAATAATAAATATTATTCCTTCTCTCAAAGGAAACACTTTTGAAACAATATAGATTTGGGGATTTAAAATAAATTTGAATAGTGGCTCTTATGCTTTGTGAACATTTTTCCCTCTCAGCATAACTCTGCAGAAGTAAAATGTGGAATATACCGAGATCTTATGGGTTTGTTAGGATAATTAAATCAATACACAAACAAATGTTGTCCATAATTCCATTTCTTAACACACCCTTATAATTCCAGTTTTCTAATTCCTGAATCCAAAAGAATCCTCTATTTCAAATTTGTAGTGATAACCTATAACCAGAAAAAAGGTCAACAGAATAGGATATCATATTAAGTCTTTGAAAAATGGCATAATAAGAGAGATTTGAATGGTTACAAATTATAACTAACTATAGCCCAGTGAACAAAATTCACACACGGGTAGGGTCCCTAGTGGCTGCTGACCAGGGACTCCCTTCCCCCAGCAGCCTATCATCACTAGCCAGAGCCTCCCTCCCCTGGCCCCCTGCCTGCCTACCACCAATGTTAGCAGGGGTCTCCCTTCCCCAGGTGCCTGGTGCCGCTGCCAGCTGGGGCCTCCCTTCGCACCTGCCTAGGCCTGGTGCCACCCACTCACCTGCTCCACCATTCCACTATGGTCCTGCTCTTCTCAGGGCCCATCCAGGCCACCTGCACCTCCACTGCCGCCTGCCCCCAGTGCTGCATCACCAACACCTGCCATGTTCCATGCTGCCACCCAGTGGTCAGTTCACATCTAACACCCAAATTCCCACCCATAGGGACAATTTGCATATTAGCCTTTTATTATATAGGGCTAGTACCGATTCTTCTTCCCTGGAATAATTCTTTCTCTTGCGTCCAGGATATTCTGTTAGCTGACCTCCCTACTCCAATAATGGCTCTCACTCAGTCTTTGCTGATTCCTTCCTCCCTGTATATACCATATTTTCCGGCGTATAAGACAACCCCCTAATTTTACAGTTAAAACATAGGTTTAGGCCTATATTCACTGTATAAGACTACCCCCCACTTCCGAGGCAACACTAGTTTTTTTTTTAATAGACCGCCTCTCTGACTCTGGCCAATCTGAGCAGGCTTTTTACTAGAACACAGTGTAGCTTCAATACGGTACTAGAATATTCCAGGGTTCAGTCCTTGGACATAGTTTTCTATCACATGAGATAACTCTAGCCCAGCCAGCTCATCTAAAATCCAAATAGAAATCCAACTATTATATTATACTGACTTGACATTCCACCTGAATGCTCAAAAGAGATCGCAAACTTAAAATGTTCAAACAGCGTTCCTGATCTTCCTCTCCCAATCTGCTCCCACTACAGGATTCTGAAAATCAAGTCATTAGGAATGTCCATACTTCCAGTTACTTAGGCCAAAAACCTTTAAACACTGTTTCTCCCATATACCCATCACATCAGCAAAAATGCAAAGTCTATTCTCAAACTATATCCAGAATCTCACCACTTCTCACCATCACCATTGTGACTACTAATCCATTTTTTGCAAGGCTCCTAAAACCCAACTCTACCCGTGGCTCTTTATAATCAACTCCACCTAAATTTAAGTCACTACTCTGAACCTTCCTTTCTCATAAAATATAAAAGCCAGTCAGCTCAACAGCCTACAAGGCCTAAAAATCCACACTCTTTCCAATTATGTCTTCTGTCTACCTCATCATACATTCTATTTCCCACTTACTACCGTGTTTCCCGAAAATAAAACATCCTCTACTGGGACCGGTTTAGCTCAATGGATAGAGCGTTGGCTTGGGGACTGAAGGGTCCCGGGTTTGATTCCGGTCAGGGGCATGTACCTTGGTTGCGGGCATATCCCCAGTAGGGGGTGTGCAAGAGGCAGCTAATCGACGACTCTCTCTCATCGATGTTTCTAACTCTCTCTCTCCCTTCCTCTCTGTACAAAGTCAA